AGAAATTGTGATAATCGAGGAGTAACTGGGTACATTTTTATCGCAAGGGGCCTGCTGCAAATACTTGAATCCTTTGTTATACTGCTTTTTACCGTAGAGGGCGGTATTTGCCTCGTGTTCAATTTAAACACGTGTAATTCGGAATTTGCAGCTGGCCCTTCCGATAATGATTGTACCTATAGTAACTCCTTAAATATCACTATTTATGTGGCTTTTCTTGGACAACTATTTTCTTCCTCCAAGTTATGTATCTGCTTACGATAATTTTGAGTAGTTGTCTTTCCAATTGTGCTCTCGTAGTTTTTAATGATTTTTTTCTCGTTACGATCACGTCTTTGTTTGGGTTCGTTCTGGCACGCATTATAGCTAATTACGAGGAGCACTGCGCATTTTTCCGAGACTAGTCTGAACTTGCCTTGCAACAGCTATCCGCATCGAAACTTCTTGTGATTACCAAGTAATTTTTAGCTTTTAAAAGAAGCATGCGGTGTTCAAAATCAAAGAAAAAAATATCTATTTTGTCTTTTAAAAATTATTCGATCGGTATGTTGTAAAGAAGTACTTTTTAGAAAGCCGTTTTATTATTAAAACATTAATGTTTCTTTCAACCTGATTATTAATCCTGCCGAGAGACCCGGCCAGTACAGTAGCTAGCTAGCAGCTGGCAACAACAACCCCATGGGGCGAACTGCCTTGCAACCCATATTTATATCAGCAGTTCGGATTGATTCAGGATGAGCTAGAATATGATTGGTAACAATTAAATACTTAAGTTTTAAGGTGGATTGATTTTAGTGGTGTGCAAAACTGCAATTTCTTACATATTTCGTTATTTTTTTCGGAGCGTCGGTTCTCAAAAAACGAAACCGGGACCCGACGGCAACGGTCGGGTCCCGGTGTGATCGACCGTACCGACTCAAGCCTAATCCAGATCGCAAATTAACCAGTCAATTTGCGTCTTCATCAGCCAGCAGTTGCAATTAGCAGGATATTTGGTAGAGAAAATATCATGAGAAATGTTGGTCTTGTTTCCAAAATATCCTGCTATTTGGGAAATAGTGGGCTTATTTGCGACCGTCCGAGCTAGTTTGTGATAAGCGTATCAGTCTGGTGAGGAGGCGACTCCGAGCTTCGGAATAATATCCAGAGTCTGAAAATAGCGGGTTATTTGCCAAACTCTAGCTGATGAAGACAGGCCTAGAGTGAACTAATGCAGTGAGCTAACCACAGAAATGGGTAGAGAGAAGGGAAATACCATACGGTACTGGAAATGGTAATGAATGATCGTCTCAATTACAAAATACCAGAATTATAACGTGATCAAAAGAGCCTAATGTTTATATTCAATCTAAGGAAACAAATCAAAAACCAAAAATGGATAGCAGTGCAAGTTTCTTATCACTTTCCTCTGAAAAGTGCATCATAAAAATGACAAACATCGACAGACGAGAGTGCCAGATTGTTGGTATAGGGCATGAACGAGTGTCTTATCTTGTCGTTAAAAGCATGCTTGAAGTAGAATGGCAAACAAGAGTGAGATGTATCCTGAATACTGAGACGATACGACTAACGGTACGCATCCAAGCATTGTACGTCAATATTAAAACATGATTGAGCAAGAGAGAGTGAAAGGAGTAGAAAACACAAGAAAAACAGGAGAAAAAGAAAGAAAAGAGAGATAGTGAGAAAGACAAAGTCGGGAGACTTCGGAAAGGGGATATAGGCTGAATTGGATGGGGAGGACAGAAAGAAAAGGCATACCAAGAAAAAATATATTAAATAAAACATTAAAATCAAATAAAAAGTTATCTGATTAATGTTTTGAGAAAATAGCTTTCTTTCGTAAGAGAACAATGTCTCCCTCCTCTAAAATAATTAAGCTAGAAAAAAAATGAATGAACAATTTATGAATTCACTGCAAGACGAAAAGAAATAATGCTCAGTCAGAAATGTAACAGATACACTTTCTAACAGAGCTTTCTAAATAAGGAAATAAAACAGTGCTATTTAAAGATGAAGCTTATAGAAATGACAAGTTTAATTAGTAGAAACTAGAAATACATTCCCCATATTTCTGTTCTGAAATAAAAGAGGAAAATGTAGGATGCTCTCGACTTCTCACATGGATGCTACAGCATGGGTGGATGCTATAATTAGATTGTGAACATAGGCAAATCAACCCTAATGAAGGAATTAGTAAAGGTTTACTTCTTGAAGATGATGATGATGATTGAGGTATGAAAACAAGTCCTCTTTCAGGATTAATATTACTTAAGCTTTCATTAGTCTGCTACCAGACTCTATTTAGAAATTATTCATTTCTGAGCCAACCACCCCCTCTCCCACCTTTTGTGTCACCTGATTGCTTCCTTGCAAATCCTGTTTGGAGCCAGAGGGGGAAGGCCACCCTGATATCAAAGTGGTTTTAATTAAAGTAGAAAATTGAGAGGAATAGCTCTATGAATTTAAAGCAAAGTTTGATTAAAACTAACAAAGTTATGAAAATATTCTCCAGAGCAAACTGGAGAGGACCTTGCAAAATAAATCACTGTTGCCAACCTGTGTTTCACCGAAGAAAACTTCAAAAATGCATAACTTAAATATATCTCATATCATATAACTTGTATTTTCATTTTTTGGGGATGGCAGCGTAGATCAAGATCTATATTTAGAAGGGCGAGTAAAATCACATGTAATGCTATATCTAGGCAAAAATCAAAATTCATATTAAATGGAACAGGTGCTTGCAAGGTTAATAAGTCAGAGTTGCCAGTTTGCTTTTGGTCAATTGCAACTTGAAAACTACAATACTTTCTTGTTCTTAATTTCTTATAACTTTCTTAGATCTGCCTTTCCACTCATATTTATGCTCTTATTTAAGCCAACTTCATTTGAGAGTGGTGCTTACCTTTAGAATGTCATGTCACAACTCAGTACTATCAAACCAGAGTCTGTAAGATAGCAGACTACCCCACTGGCAGTAAGACAATGTTATTTCATGTATTTCATGTAGTTGACTCATTGTATAATCAAGTTTAATTAGAACAGGTGTGAATGGCATGGGACAATGAAGGCAATGAACTGTTAGAGGAAACATTGTCATGTTTCTCTTTTGATCTCTTGCATAATGTCACTATCCCTCGTGAGTCACAGCCTCACTGACATGATGCACGCAAGCAAGAAAAGTGTTCACCCCTCCCCAACCTCTACTTAAAAGAGGAATTGCATGGAATCTAATTTAGAACATAAAGAGGCTTTGCTGATGAGGTAATGCACAGAATGTGTGGGAAGATATCTTCAAAGCATTCTGTAGATTAAACTTTCGTAATTTTTCCAAAGATGAATGGAGAAAGTGCACCCTTGCAATGATAAAGGCATTAAAAAATACAGATACAGATTTTCAATGTCAACCGGTGCATGACATTCAGTTTACTGTTGTTTTGCAAACTTTATCATAAAAAACATAAATCAACAAACTTACATCCTCTGAAACTAACACAATCTACATGTAAACTGATTCTTCTCTCGATTTTTTTGCATTTTTAATGTTTCATATTTACTTTGTACCATTTCCTCAATTTGTGCAAGACTGTTTTTTTGTGGAAAATAATTAAAATCAATGTTAAGGTTTCCTTGGACATCAGGATTGTGTTAACTTTAGGCGTCCATTACAAGGGTATTAGATACAAAGTCCTTCCAATGAACACACTGTCTGCCGTGAGCCAGAAGGATAGGAACTTTAATCAACTACAAAAAAGGCCTGTTTCCACTAGCTCGAGATTGCCCAATATCCCGCTATTTTAACTATCCCGATCGCAAACTATCCTGCTAATGTTCGTCTCCATCAATCCAAAGTTGCAATTAGCGGGATATTTGGTCGGGATCGTCATCCCAAGATATCTTGATATAGATATCTTGGTATAGTTTGCAAAATATCCAGCTTTTTGTCCCGTGCGTCTTCACCAGACTGAAGACTCACACTATGCGTGAACGCTGACCAAAATATCTTGAGCTAATTTCTCGAGGTCAGGTTTGAAGTTTCGAGGTCGAATCTCGAGCTGATGAAGACGCGATTTGTAACTTCAGGATTATTTCCCAAATCAGAAATAGCGAGCTATTTGGCAATCTCGAGATGATGAAGACGCGCCTAGAGAAAACACCTTTATGGCTCTCAGCAGGCAATATGAATATACCTGAGCATGTCTGGAAGACAGGTCTTTACAGCCGTTTACAAAACCCTTTATTGAAACAAAAACTTGAAAGGAAGTTGCTGTAAGACCTGTAATTAGACAATCATTAATCATGCTAGAGCATGGAGTGTTGAAAACTAATGAGCGTGGAAACAGTTGTCTTGCCAGTGCACAGAAACAGAAGGCCTGTCCTCATCAGCTCAAGTTTGCCAAATAACCTGCTATTTTCAGACTCTGGATATTATCCCGAAGCTCAAAATAGCGTCTTCACCAGACCGATACGCTCATCACAAACTAGCCTGGACGGGTGCAAATTAGCCCACTATTTCCCAAATAGCGGGGTATCTTGGAAACAAGACCCAAGATTTCCCTGGATATTTTCTCGACCAAATATCCCGCTAATTGCAACTGCGGGCAGGTGAAGCTGCAATTTAAGTGGCTAATCTGTGATCAGGAAAGTTAAAATAGCGGGTTATTTGGCAAACTCAAGCTGATGAAGACAGGCCTAGAGAGACTGACGTCAGCTGCTTCTAATAGAAGGGAGGATTTCCCCCTTCTTGCCTCCAATTAGGAAAAAATAAAGACAAACTTCTTATTTTGATGATCAAATCCCCACTGCATGCAGCAACAAACGTCACTGCCTGTGGCTATGACTGCAACAAACTCAAACGACTTTGTGACGTCCGTCCCAATTGTTTCCAGACATTTTTTCTTGTTTCCTCGAAAAATATGTGTCATGCTTCTTGTTTTTCGGTCCAATCGTTCAGTATTACTCAACTGAATTTCTTCTCTCCTATTCTATCATTTCAGATTGGACTGGACGCTGGGCATACAACTTTGGGAACAGGCAAACTGAACAAAATGTTCTACTCTGTTGCACTTCTTGGTCTACATATCAGGGATTGATTGAAGAATTGTTAACACATCTACTGCCGTAGTCTGCTCAGACCTTCAACGAGTTTGTTAGTATGCAGTGCCTGATCATAACCTGGATATGTTTTATCATCATTCACTGAATCAGGAAACAAGATTGAGCAATAGTAACACAAGAAGGAACCGTTACGAAAGTGAATAATTCTGAGGATTGTACAGCAAAGGTGACACTTCAACTTCCTAGGCACCTGAAGAGCACTATAATCTAGACTGTTAGCTTGGACAGGACATGAAGCAGAATTCACACATAAAGGTGTTAGGAAACACTTTTGGACCTTCCTGGAAATGTGAACAACCTTCAAGGATGATGACATCAATCTTGTGCAGCTGAAAGAAAAAAGTTGAAGTCATTGCTCTTCTTTCCCGCAACTTTTGTTTAAAGATAATCCAACTTTTCTACATGCCTCAAGTTTTTGAAACCTCAGATTTTTTCCAAACCCAGTTTGTGTGCACATCTTGAAAACAACTGTCTAGAATATAAAGATATTGTTACCTGATAGAAGTGTCAGAATTCACAGAGACAGATAAAAATGCATATGACATTCTGCTTAGTGGTCAAGTAAAATACTTTAAAACAAAATGGATAGTGCAACAGACTCTTCAACCACTGGGCTGCCTATGAAAATAATAACAAATGCCACAACTTCTGTCATGAAAATGGATACTGCAGCTGATACATCAACAGATGGAGTCTTTAGTGATTGGGTGGTGAACTTTGCCGAGGCTCTGAAGGAAAACGCTACTCAGACATTCCCAACTGGCAATCAAGTTGAAGAAGCCAATACTTACTGGATTTCAAATGCATTCAACCCCATCACTACAGGGCTTTCAACAGACTTTGGGACAAATGACACGCTACTGAACACTTCAACCCCGACAGGTACGGACACTGCCATGCCAAACTGGGCAACGTTACTAGCTCTTCTCATGATGATAGTGACGTGTCTATTGATCATCGTAGGGAACTTGATAGTGCTGATTGTATTTCACTACACCCCAGCTCTGAACAATGCATCAGGAATCTTCATCAAGTCGTTGGCTTGTGCAGACTTGGGTGTGGGCATATGCTGCTCTTTCTCAATACACTCTTGGTTCTTGCAGGAATGGCCTTACGGAGATGCAAGCTGTGCCATCACAGGGTACACTCTGGCAGTGGCTGTAGGGGTTTCTATCATAGGACTGGCCTGCCTGAGCATCGACCGTTACATAGCAATCATGAAGCCTTTGAAATACTTCACCATCCTGACTAAGACAAGAGCAAGGATTATAGTCATAGTAGTCTGGTTGATCAGTGCTGGGATTTTCCTACCTTCCATGTTTGGATGGGGCACCTTTCATTACAATGACCATAGCTACGAATGTTCACTCCACTGGGAGGAGAATGTTGCGTTCTCATTCTTCATCATCGCTGTTCTAGTCGTGCCCGCTCTGGTCATCTCAACGTTCTGCTACGTTCAGATCCTCAAGGTCAGCTTCGTACAAACTCATAAGATTGAACGCTCGGAAATGATGTTCAAATCAGCAAGCCAACGCGAGGGTACCAGATCCACCTATGAGCGTCTTCTTGCAAAGATATTCTTGGTGATCATCAGCGCATTTTATGTGACTTGGTTACCCTTCGTGGTGACCAAGACCTTGAGGGGACTGGTAGATATCCACATCCCCCCAGCTGCTATGTTCTTCTTTTCATGGCTGGGAATAGTGAATAGTTTCCTGAACTGCATAGTTTACAGCATCGGACACAGGTCTTTCCGTGACGGATTCTTTGTTGTGTTACGAAAGACCCGTAGGAAAGCCACCGCTCTGTTCTTTTGTACGTTTACCTCAAACAGTCGGAAAAAGAATCATAAAAAGTGGAAGAAGAAAAATGGGCATCTGTATACCAACGGAAAGGACCGGTTTATTGATGTACGTCCGATACCGATTCCTATCATAGAGACCTCCTTATAGACCTCACTGAGACTCAAGAGGATCGCTTTGTTTGTGATGTGAAATATACTTCACACTTATACTCGTACTCATTTTGAATGGTACTCATTGTCTGCAAACATATTGACATTCATCCAATATAGTCCAATGCTACATATACTGCTATTTGTTGTACACTTTCTGTACTACACATCTGTAATATTATTGAGTATCTGAAACTTAAGGTGATATACATGTATAATGAAGAATAACAAAAGTGATTAAACTTTATATTTTGATGTACAAGTAAAACTTTAAGGATCCTTACCAAAAGAAATAGATGACCAAAAGAAGAAAGAATGTGTACAACTATTTTCAGACTATGTGTAAAAGTTCAAAATATACCTCACTTTTCATATACAGGAAAGTTAGCACAAAGTGCATGCCTCATAGGCCGTCAGTAGTAGGGACAGGCCACCATTGAAGGGGAAAAAATGAAAGAGAGGAGAGACTTCTGCAGGCTACGTATGATAAACCTATGATTAAATATAAAACACAATATGGGTATATGAATGACTTTTTCTTGTATCATCTAGGAGGAAATACATGCATCTTTTTTACAATGCCAAATACAAAAGGAGCTGCTGTGAAGGAATAGGTATTATCTATTACACAAGGTTGCAAGCCCTTTGAAACAATGGATATGATACATGCAGCAAGAGGGCATGACTTAATTGGCCTAAGCTGTGTAATTTATAAAGTGTGTAGGGCATCACAGTCAAATGCTGCACGTTGGAACTATGAATCAGTCGAGATATGACATTGTGAGGCTGTTGTTGTACCAGCAATATAGCAATAGGAAGTCTTGTGAGATGACCTCCCCACATATTCACTTTGGTGTTATGATTCATACTTGTCAAGAGTACTCTCACCTTTATCAGGATCTATACATAGATGGTAGACAGTTATTCCAAGGGAGATTTTCAATTATCAAATGAGGCAATCTTGCCATAAGGTTATTACATTTTTACACCCACTTTGTATGTAACAGGAGAACAAAATTGTGGCTTTTATTTTTTGTTTTAAAAGTTTTTTTAAACAGATTTGCTTTTTTATTTGTTTGAATAACATCGGAGTGATTGACTACAGGTTAACTTACCACACATTTAAAAGCTAAAGGGGACCATTCATTATATTAGTAAGTAGTAACTTGAGGTAGTGATGGTTTTCGTAACATGTCACTGAAACGTTTGGTTTGATACAGGTACCTTTGTTTAAATGTTAAACATGTTCATATAATGTGGGACATTCAGTCCAAAAATAAAACCCGAGATCCCATTCTGGTTGTAACAATCATATACAGTGTAACCATAAAAGTTTCTTTGAAAAGTCTCTGTTAACTGTTTTCTTATAAATATCAGTTGAATATAGCCACATAATGTTAAAAATGTTTCAAGCTGACTAAATTTGATCAATTTATTTTTCTAACATGTTAACATCTTTGTCAGCTGATGAACATATTGTTTTTAATATTATGATAGACATACATATATCTTCCAAAGTTTCACACACTGGATCACATGCATATTGCTAAACTAGATACATGTATTTCATTCTTTGCATCATTTGTATGTGAATATCTAGAAAGCTGTTTTAAACTGGCAACAACAAAAAAAGTATTCTTTTGAAGCTCTACATTCATATCACAAAATGTACAAACTTGTTGCTCCTAAACAGATTACTTATATTTGATGATACAGCTGATTTACAGTATTAATAAACAATTTATATTGTCTCCATTGTGGCAGAATTAGATGATTGTCGAAAAAAGAAAAGAGAGTATACAATTGAGAATAAAGTCAAGATCCTTTTGTAGAAAGGATGGAGAAATTGAATCATAAAGCTCAGGTCTCAATCTGTTATTGTGTATATTAATTATTCAACATCGCGTTCATTGTGAGTATGAGAACCTACGCACTTTGCGCAAACCTTATTGTGATGTAATAATCACACCAAAGGCACACTGTTTGCAGTGTATCGAGAATTTTGTCAAGTACTAGATGCACAGTGCTGGTTTGACAATGCTTTTGCAACTTTTCATGCTAGGAAACCCTGTGCAGTGTAGGCTACTGTATTTTACATAATTTAAGAGTATAAGATGGTTTGAGTTTCTTGTTTGCTCTGGATGTCTGATGTGGTTAATAATAGTAATATTGACTGCCTAATTCAGGGCAATACGACTTGTCATATATCGACCTCACCTTCGGTTCGGGCGATATATGTCACATTGCCCTGAAGGCAGTCAATATTACTTATATATTACCAAACATTATTCCATCATACATAATATATTATCAAATATATCAATGACACTTCAAGTGCACAGTTCTCTACAATGGATAGTCTACCCCGTAAGAGTTCAGTGTTACCTTTTAGTGAAATTTTATTTTCATCTTTTGATCCATAATACTCATTGAGTATTTCATTAATATGAGCAATTAAACCAAAAATAATCATTGAAGTCTCTAAATTGACAATGCAGTTGCAGAGTGAATTTACAATTACTGTTTTCATGCATAAGTTGGCAATTTCTTGTTGATGTTTGTTTTTGTATTTTTCATTCACAAAGTGTACTCTTATAAACATTATGCACTACTCACCAAAGAATCAGTATGAGCAAACTTTACGTTTTTTTTAATGGGTTTTTCCAGTAATGTGGTTTAGAATGTTTTGGGGATATGTAAATGGGTCTAATATAAGGTGATCAACAAAAAAACAAAAAACTTTTGATATTAAACTGATAAACTTGCTATTGATATGGCTGAATATGTTTGCATTGTCATGCTGCTTCCACTTATTCTTTCATACTGAAGTAAAGAAAGGCAGCTGAGATTGGTCTTGTAAACAAGGATTCTCAAAAGGCCTATCTTCATCAGCTCGAGATCGCTAAATAACCCGCTATTTTAACTATCCTGATCGCAAACTATCCAGTTAATTTGCGTCTTCATCAGCCTGAAGTTGCAATTAGCGGGATATTTGGTCAAGATAATCATCAAAAGATATCTTGGGCTAATTTGCAAAATATCCTGCTACATGGCAAAATATTGGCAAAATATCCCACCATTTGTCCGGTGCGTCTTCACCAGCCCGAAGACTTGCACTCCGAGCGAACTCTGAGCAAAATATCTCAAGCTAATTTTTCGAGCTTGAGTGTCGAGGTCAAGTCTCGAGCTGATGAAGAAGCAATTTGTAACTTCTGGCTTATTTCCCAAATCAGAAATAGCGGGCTATTTGGCAATCTCAAGCTGATGAAGACATACCTAAAGAGTGCACCAAGGGTTGAACACACCTGGTGATGAAAGGAATTCATGTTCCTCCTAATCTTTCTTGGTCTCTAATGACATACTTAATGCGCCATGACAGCCTTGACCTTTGACATAGAACTGTTCTTGAACCCATGTGGTTTATCTTTTCTTTAAACAACCCATTTTTAATAAATCCTCTTAAATCCCTTTTATCCCTTATTTGTTGGTAGTATCAAGCAATACCAGACACATTCTTCCTTGAGTAAATCTCTGCTTCGCCAGAACCCTGCACCTGATACACGTAGTCCTACATCTGTACACGTACAACATGATGTAGGCTTGATAATGTGATAATAGGAGCATCTATAACAAACTTTCAGCACCTTATTATACGTCAGCCTTGGCCAAAACTTGACTTTACAAACCGCCCTGGTGTCTTTCTTTATCCATATCCAGGATACCCTATTTTCTGGTTAACTGCACTTCTGAAGGTTACGTAGCCATGGAAACTAAATATTAAACAGTACGTGTATGTGATTGGGTAGGACTGCAGTCTCATGTTTATGAATCTTGAAAACACAATCAATCTGATGTCCTTCCTCCTTAGAAAAAATTACCATTAAATACATGCTTTCATTCCTTTCCTTTCTTTATTGCTAAATCCCATTTTTACCCCCCACTTCTCTGACCTGCCAAACACAATTCTGGAGTTGTTATTATACAAATGATTCATGCGCATGAGTTCATTATACGATCTATCCGCACTCGAGTTGAGGCTGTGTGTCTATTGCACAAAGACGTTAGGCTGAGTGCGATCGATAGATACACACAGCATCAACGAGGGCGGATAGATCGTATAATGAATGAATGAAAACATGCATCATTTGTTTTATACAATAAAACTCCTAGATCCTAGATATAACAAAGACAAACATGTAGGCCTAAATGTAAGAGTAAAGAGTGATTAGGTCATGGAAGTCTGAAAAAGAGCTCTTTGTTTCTTCTCTTTAAATCACTGTTCTCAATGAAATCTAAAAAATGAGCATACATAAACAAGAAGAAAGAATATTTCCAGTGCATCATTTAGACCAAAGATCAGTACTATCAAGAAAGTTATCCTGCAGTCACATTTTTGTCTCTCCTCAGTGACATAGCTCGAGTCTATGTTCCTCATCCACAGAGTAATTACCAAACCAGACAATCATGGTATTCACCAGGTAGAATACAGACACAGACTCTATTTCTATTTTAACTATAACAAACATCTAACATGCCTAGAGCATAGAGAGGTCTAAGTTGGTCTAGCGGGATGTAAGCTCTCTGTCTTTACCTACAAAATGATATGCCATTCACTGGAGCCCGTCGGGGTTTTCCATGGAATAGGAGAGATTTCTTTGTTTATTTCATAGTTCTTTATTTTATTCAGACCTTTACAAAAGCTTTCAAGGGCTCAACTCTTCTTTTCTGATATCACTAGTATTCTTCACAGGCACATTCATGTGAAACATTTCGAAGGGTAAAAAAGAAATAAATATATATTGCACAAATAAAGCCATGTATATGGATGTTGGTGCAGTACAGTTAATCCTGAGTATACCGACGCAACCGAAACAGAAACAGAAATATGTTTTTTACCTGTGGTCTTATTACTCTAATTTTGAAAAGAGAAAGGATTGGGAATTCACCAAGCAAGATATCAGCTGAGATTCCTAGGTCACTTTCAGATGATTCTCTGAGAAATACTGAGAAATCTCAGGTATATGATCAACATCGTAAATAACAGGACACTAAAACTCAAGGTCAATATACAACCTTGAACTTTGACCCCCATAATGTAGATCGAAGGTTAAAGGTCAAACTGACCTGGGAAGAGAAGGGTAGCCAGGTACAAGGTTGTCAGTCAATCATTTAATTAAAGATTACAGTAAGTGTAATAATGCAAAAAAAACACTGCCCTCTTGGTCCACTAGCATTGAAACTTTGAGCACTCTATCTTCAAACTTGTGTTGCAACGTGGAGAAAATTCTTGTGAAACTGACCCCTTAAAAGAAAAGCGATGATCAGAGCTACAAATTAAAGAATAAGCCTTGTTCCCCTTTCCTGTATGTAATTGTTTAATGATTTCACCTTTTCGTCACTTCTTGTATTTTACTTTATTAAGGAAAGATAAGGAGCTTCAGTATATCTTTGATTACAGTTATTTTAACAGACTTCATACAGAATATAGGAGAATAGAAAAAAAAATCCTTAACTTGGAAGAGGAATATAACAAGGACAAAACAAAAAGCCTGAAAGATTAATTGTTATTAGATGAGCCCTGGAAGTTTCTTTTTTCCCCGAAACATTCTTTTGTCCTTGATATATTATCTTGCCTAATATCAAAGAAAGATTTGTGTTACATGTTAAGTTCAAAGGGGTTACAAGACCCATTAGGGGCTTAAATGGTCTGAAATTGAAAGGATTTGGAGGGGGGTGATGGACAAGTTCATTACATTTACCTAGACTCTGCAGGGGGCTATTTTTTATTGATGCAGATTGAATGGCAATATGAACGCATTGTGAATTGATCAACAAACAAAAAGATTGCATAGAATATGTGATGATAGACATGAATGCAGGGGAGAGAGAAAAGAAAACAAAGTGGAACATGTGTAATAAAGAAAACAAAGAGCCAGACAGATAAACAGACAGAACCAGACAAAGAGATGGAGAAAAGGTGCACCATAGAGAGAAAGTAAAGCAATAGAGAGGCCAAGAATGGAAGAGAAAGAGATAGAAAGAGACATGGAAATAGAGGGATAGAGAGAAATAGTGGAAGCAATATTGAGAGCAAGAGAAAGAAGACTAAGAGTCACCAAAAAGGAGGAATGAGTGAGTGGAGTTGTGAGTGACAGATAGAGGGCAGTAGATAGATATACATAGAGGTAGTAAAAACAGATGCACAAAGAGAAAGAAGAGAAAGAGATGAAATTTATTAGAAAAAAACAATAAGCCTTGGACGATTAAGGATGACACAAAATGCTGTATTTTAAACATGTTGTATGAAAAGGAATATTAACCAAACAGCTTGGGAGTCTTAATATGTCCAACATTGTGTGAAAAATCACATTCATGGTAGACATTGAATACATGTCTTACGTTTACCTCAAATTATGGAGGTGTTGTGGTCTAGTGGATAAGTCCCTGAGCTGTGAACCACAGGTACAGGGTTCAAACAGCCATAGGTAAAACTTTGATCTACATTTTCCACACTCCACTCAGATGAGGTAAATGGCTACCTGGTAAGATTATTCCTTGAAATGCACTGCGTGCTGAGAATGGTTGCCGGAGCTGAAGTCGGGGTAATTATTTCCTAAGTCCTTTGGAAAGCGCATAGGGGTATTATATCATAATGCAATATGCACTATACAAGAATGGAATACTATAAATCCACCTCAAGCAGGTTCATCCAGATACCGGCATCTCCAGTTGGGCCATGGTCATCATGAACAGCTTCGTCAACAACATCTTGATATCACCTTCAACACCTACATCATATACAGAACTTCCTCTGAATGACCGTCTAGATCAGTCATAAACATTGCAGTGAATAGCCCTTATAATTCCCAGTTTGTATAATGCCTATTTCTACCATCCATGAGGTCTAATAATTATTTGATGATTATTCTTATTCATGGTCAAATGATTATTAAACCATATGGGTAGTAGACTTATTGGAGATTAGACTAAATGGAAATTAGACCAAATGACTATTAGCCTAAATGGTCATTAGACCAAATGATAAGTAGACAAAATGATGATTAGACATGTCGAAAGTAGACGGGCTTAGTGTAGACCATATGGGAATAGACCAACTGGGTAGTAGGCAAACTGGTTGTAGACAAAACTGCAATAAACCAACTTTGCTATATAACATAGCATCTGGCATCGACTTGAAATGCCAATAAATAACACTTCAATTATACAATAAGGTATGAACATGTAAGGTTGGAATAATACTCACTACATACTATCGAAAGGCTCATGCCAGCTACTTGTCATTAATCACTTTCACTTTATACAGACATGTACAGTACAATTAGTTATTCAAAGTCCTACCATATCCCACCAAATATCCACCCCTCTATTAAAGGCATCGTTTAACAATGTAAAATCTGAGATGCACGGCCCTACGTGTTATCAGTGTCTTTGATATGGTGTAATAATGAAGCCCTAAAAAAGTTGTGCTTCAAAATGATCAAGAAGTGCCTCAAAAAAGTAAAAAATCTTTGAGTAGCCAGTTCTACCATACTCGTTTTCCTCAATAGACTGTAGTGTTATGAAAACTGTTTAGCAAACGGTTTTCAAAATTCGTTATTCCAATCATAAATATCTTGATAATCAGACTAGTGATCGGCTTGTAAAAGTCATGGGGTTCCTGACTGACCTAAAGGTTTATAATTATCATTGTAGCATTCGAGCTAAATCCAGGATTTTATTTCAGAATCTGAGAAAAAGTTACCGGATCCCTTTAAGGATATCAACAAATGTGCCTAACATCTAAGCCTAACATCAAACATATTCCTATATATACCATCCATTATTTCCATAATACTGTTTATATACTGGATATATATAAAAGCTTTTCTGGATTAAATGATACAACAGAACATGATAGGATCATGCAAAGAAGCTTTTCAGAATGTTACAAAGTCACATTGAGCAACAGTTGGAGCTTATAGATGGATATGCATTAAAAGTCATGAACTCGACCTCATTCAACACGGCTTGAACCCAACCTATATCTTGAGACTTGAACACCCCCCCCCCCCTTCCTCTTAAATAGAATTCTTTTTTAACAAAACATGAAGGACAAGAACTTGACATCAGTTCTCAAGGTAAACACTTTCCCGCTCACAATGTCTCGGTGATGGATACTAGCGTGCAGACAGAAAGTATCTTGTGCCAAGAAAGCGCCAGGAATATTCCTTAGTTAGATGAGTCAGATCTTTCTATTCTGTCCTCCGATGTCCCTTGGTCTCCCATCGTATGTCTCCATGGCGAGGCTTGTGAGGCCTGGATGCAGGCATTTCACGGGAGCGATGGGTGCATCTCAGTGATGCAGCAGGTTTACCGGTACCGCATAAGACATGGGTACCCAAAGATAATGGGTATACACAAGGGAAGTTGCAGTGCAATTTTCAAAGGGGATGGGGTAATATGAATGCAGAAGGCCCTTACTTTGAAAAAACTAAAATTGCTATGAAATAAAGGCACATACACTGTAGAGAAAGAGACATACAATCAGACAGAGGTCAAGTTTTCACTTAAAGATCTTCCATCCTCAAGAGTCAAGACAACACATTTGTCTGAAAACTATGCCAATCGAAAAATCATGCACTTACTGCCTTTCAGCAGTCAAAGTTTGGCATTCAGTACCTGAAGAGTACCATGTAGTTCTAAACAAGGATGTACATGTACATTTCAATCAGCAAGAAAGAGAATTAAGGTCAGAAAGGGAACGGATTCAAGGAACAGGTAACATAATGCATGAAGGCTAACATTCTCAAGGGTTTTCATTACCCCTTCTTTTATCCATGACCTAACCTAGTTTGCCCTCAAGGTCTACCGCTAAACAAGAAATACCCCCTAATTCATCGTAGTTACAATACAACAATAGGATATGATGAACCTTTGACCCAGTACCTCAAGAGAATGTCCTAATCCTCCGTTCCTCTCATCACTCTCGTCTACTAGGAATAGAGACAAACATGAGCTGAGAAGAGGGTCCCTGATGCTCAACCATTCTCACTCTTAATGTCATCCGATCTCTTTGTATTTCATCACTCCGGTGATGTTGATAAATGTCCTCTTACATCTATCCCGCTTCCTACTTGGTTGCCTTCAGAGACATATGCCACTTTTGAACTGTTTGAACTTTCTTTCTCCTTGCCTTAGATTTTCCCTCTATTGTGTATTTGTTTTTCATATATACCTCCTGCCTTTTTTTCCCCCTTCTCAACGTTTTTCTGCTTTCCTTTTTCTCCATCTTCCCTCCTCCTCTCCTTCCATTCTCTCTCCCTCACACACACTCTCTCTCTCCCTCTATCTTCTTCTTCTCTCTCTCTCTCTCTCTCTCTGCCTCCCTCCCTCTCTTTCTCTCTCTTCACATGTTTGCCTTCTCCACTGCTCATTAATTTCACATTATCTTTAAGAAATCTTAGTCTCATTTACATACCCTTTTTTCTTTTGTGTACCCTGAAACTTTTGTTAATGCCTCATCCACAGGCTTTTCTTCTACTCTTCCCCATTTCTCCCATTTTTTTCTCTTTTCTCTAACCATCACCTCCCTGTATTTCTGCAGTTGTTATGATCTATTTGTTCCTTCTAAATAATTTGCTGTTACCTTATCTATTTCTAGTTTGATACCTATTTATTTGTCTAGCTCCATTTTGTGTTATTGCAATGATTGCTCATGTCATCAAACACCTCTAAATGTCTTTCTAAGCTTCATCTATTTCAAAAGCTCTCATTGTCTCAATGTCCCAGTGTATAAACACACACACTCTCTCTCTCTATCTCCTTCTCACCAACCTTCCCCCTCCCCCTCCCCCTTCTCTCATTCTCTCTCTCTCTTTAATCCATGTCCCTGTTATCTGTCATGGGAAAGAACACATTGGACTGATGTCAATTCTCAATCTTCAACACTAAGCACAGGTGGTCACAAGATGGCGCTGTTGCACATACACATTTCACACATCATCTAGCATAGTGATGATGTCAACATCTGCATCTCTGGGCCTTTCCTCACTTACACATAGGTGGAAAGACAGTTGTTGTATGCCTTCACTATTTGATAGTCTTTGACATACTCAGTGATTAAGAGAAAGTGTGCAAAAGTGCCTAGAGTAAATCCGCAATGAAGATGTAATAAAGAGAATAAGTATTTCATCAAGGCTTCGTTGCATAAAACTTACCATTGATGGTAATTTTGCCATTAATGGCAACTACCATGGTAACAAGGCTCAACAGCCAATCAAAATCAAAGTTTCCATGGTTGTTACCATTGATGGTACACTTACCATCAATGGTACGTTTTGTGCAACAGGCCCTGTTTAAAGCCAGAAGGGCATTAACTCTGTACAAAGTGATATGAGAGACAATTCCAGTTTATCTGTAAATTTATAGCAAGGCGTATGAAGAAATTAAAGATAAAAAGTGGTACAAATCATTCTAATGGTTGCTATATCGATGTCAGCCATTGACTCATTTCAGTAGGGTCAGTCATTGCTTACCTTTGTAATGAGTATCCTGTAATCCTCTAGGAGATTCTCACTCTCATGGACACCAGCTAGTAGCTGCCATATCTCCCCCCTCAGAGCCTCAGGAACACTCTTCCTGACGTAGCCTTTGAGCTGCTTGGGGTGCACACTTAGGTTGACCCTCCACTTGGCCAGGAGCTCACCCCAGCCGAGCAGGATGGATTCTTCACAGTCTTTGCCGACGCTACCAGACCCGCTCTGAAGGGGCTCATCATCATCTGAAGAAAGGTTGGGAGAAAGGATTCAATGACTTTTATCTTTTATATATGGATAGACTTATCCTAGCTGAGAAGGATGGATACTTCACAGCCTTTACCAATATTTCCAGACCCACTCTGTAGGGAGAAAGGATTCAAATACTGATCAAAAGTATAGAAAGGACAAATAAGGATCTTTTATTTATGGATGGACTAATCCTAGCTGAGAAGGATGGATTCTTCAGTCTTTACCAATGCTACCAGACCAACTCTGAAGGGGCTCATCATCATCTGATTAGGGTTGGGAGAAAGGATCGACATTGTCAGGAAATAATGAAAGGAGGATTATCGATTATTCTCGGATAGACTAGCAATGCTATTCAAGGTTATTAGAGCTGCCTCGAGGTAGAATTCATCACCATCAGAGGAATGACGCGTGAAAGGAAGATAGATGTCCAGAGATGTATCTCTAACTAAAGATAGAATCCTGAGCAAAGTTGGGAGAAAGGGGTCCAGTGCTGATCAAAAAATATAGACAGGACAAATAATCCTAGCTGAATTTGCAGATGCTTCCCAGGCCATATAGCAGATCAGATTTTATCGACATCAGAGAAGAACAGATTCAAAGAAGGAATGGACATGTTAAAATTTAGAAAGCAATAGTTCAAATAGAAGATGGACTTCATATCAGCTGATGTTGGGGTGGGGAGATAGAAACGAAGACTTGAAAGTAAAAATCTATGATTCAATGAAACAAGTTTAAGATATATATCTGAGCATAATGGTAATGCCAACTGCACTCATAAAGACAGATGGTATACTTCAAGTGCGCAAGTAGTAGGTTTAATTTCAAGGAAATATGAGTTTAAGTACGATTCATAAAATATGAGCCTTTAAAGCCTTTCTGCACTAGTTTGGCCAGGAGGGATTAGACCTCCCTGCAGGGTAACTGACAGGTTGTTATCTAATCAAATCAGCTCTCGATTAACATACGAAAAAGGGGACCATGGGGGACCAATGATTACCGATTAGGCATTGTTTGCTATATAGAGGGCGCAAGTAGCTACAAGTATTGCAATTCCTGCTTTAGGCTACTCCTTGGTAGAGTCTGTTTTGCATGAATCCATGCTGCTACTATAAAACGTCGACTTACCGCTCTCTTCCTCTAGCATGGCGCTCATACTATCAGGGGTTCTGGCTTGATTGAGACTAGACTGACGAACAGGAACATGGCGTCGCTCTCTCAAGACTCAACACACGATAGGCTACAAAACACTATAAAACATTGACTTACCGCTCTCTTCCTCGAGCATAGAGCTCATACTATCAGGGGTTCTGGCTTGATTGAGACTAGACTGACGAACAGGAACATGGCATTGCTCTCTCTGTGTATCACTCTCAAGACTCAACACTCGATACGCTACAAAACACTATAAAACATTGACTTACCGCTCTCTTCCTCGAGCATAGAGCTCATACTATCAGGGGTTCTGGCTTGATTGAGACTAGACTGACGAACAGGAACATGGCATTGCTCTCTCTGTGTATCACTCTCAAGACTCAACACTCGATACGCTACAAAACACTATAAAACATTGACTTACCGCTCTCTTCCTCGAGCATAGAGCTCATACTATCAGGGGTTCTGGCTTGATTGAGACTGGACTGACGAACAGGAACATGGCGTCGCTCTCTCTGTGTATCACTCTCAAGACTCAACACTCGATACGCTACAAAACACTATAAAACATTGACTTACCGCTCTCTTCCTCTAGCATAGAGCTCATACTATCAGGGGTTCTGGCTTGATTGAGACTGGACTGACGAACAGGAACATGACGTCGCTCTCTCTGTGTATCACTCTCAAGACTCAACACTCGATATGCTACATCATTCTCAAGGCTTGTCTCAATCTGCATTGACAATATAAGAAAACAAAATTATCAATTTCCACCAGTTTAAACTGTTTTCATTTCTTCCTTGTCCAATGCCACCTTGTCCAGTGCCACAGCCAGATGTTGATTAATAACACCACTTTACAATCTACCTATTTCTTGGAATAAATTTGGAATCAAACATTTGTCAGTTGCTAATTCCTAGGTCACATCAAAACTTTTAAATTTTGATGTCAGTTCATTTCTTGATTTTTGAAATGCATAGGTTTCAATTGCGTTTCTACCCTACATTCCTTGTCCAGTGCAGTGCATACAAGAATGCATTGTAGGGTAGAAATGTAATTGAAACGCATGCATTATTGGTTCGAAGTTAGCACTTTAATTCAATGTCACTTCGATACCATCTCGATGCCGGTTTGATGTGGAGAAACAAAATGGAAATGCAGTGGGAAAATTAGAAATTTTGAACATGCACAAATTTTCTCAGGCCTTTGTGGTGCCGATTCGTTTCCCCTAAAATGCATAGGAAATGCAGCATAGCTATAGCGATATCACTTCGGATCAAATTTAAATCATGCATTCCCAGATCGATGTCAGCTCGTTTCTCCAGTTTTCACATCGAAATGGAAACGCATGGGCTTAATGCATTGGTGTGGCCTAAGCATAAATATAAGTGCCCATTTGTAGACCAAGCAATACATTTTACACATCAACATATCAGAGATAAACAACAGAAATACAAATAATCATTGTGACTGTGTCATCTTGAAGCTGTAGTACCGTATGTAGATAAGCATCTAAAAAAGATAACCCAAAACAGTCATTTTATTCCAGCTCTCTAACCACAACTCATTCATCCAAATACAAAAAATTTCAGATCACAATCTCCCCAAATTATCATAGATCAGAATCAATTACTTTCTTCCTCCGCTCCAAATAAACGCGCACAGCGTTGTGTCTATGAAGACGACTCTGGGTAGAAAAAAAAGAGGATGCCATTGTAACATTCTACTCAACATGGACCTTTGTGAGAGAACTGAACAAGAGAACTGTAGACAAGTGTTGTAGCGAGTACAATGGATTGGAATAGCAATCTTGCATGTAGAATGTTTAAATACCCTTCTACATGTATCATGTTACACTTGTGTAGAGTGTGTAAAGTGTGTGGAGTGTGGAAACTGATACAGCCCATATTGAATATTGGGTATACAATTACACAAATGATGGGCAGTATTATGTGCTTTATATATCTGTATCATATTGTTGTTGTTGTTGCTGCTGAAAGTGAAAGGGGCAAACAAACAATTTCTTCATACAGGGCTACAACTCTCTAGACTGATATCTGCATGTCAAGTGCCTGGGGGCTAAATGAGGTTTTCAGAAGGTACAGTAGATGAACATTAACAACAAACTCTATTTCAATGTATGTACACTTGCATTCCAGGGGTGGCAGCACGGACCAAGAATTGCATTTGCTGGGCAACAGCACTGGTATAGATTGATAGTTAGGGTCAAGGAGCAAAAAGACCATACTGAATGCCTCAAATGACTGAGGTAATAATGATAGAGGTGTTGTGGTCGAGTGAATACGTCACCGGGCTGTCGATCACAAGTTCCGCGGTTCAAGTCCCGCCGCGGCACTAATATCCTTTGGCAAGACATTGATCTACATTTGCCACACTCAACCCAGGTGAGGTAAATGGGTACCTGGTAGGATTATTCTTTGAAATGCACTGTGCACTGTTAAGGCTGCCAGAGCTTAAGCTAGGGTAATAAATTTCAAAGCTCTTTGGAAGCGCATAGAGATGTTATTTCATAACGTATTATGCACTATACAAAAACTGAACTATGATTATTATTATTATATCTGTAAGGCCCTTAGAGATGGTATTCCGTATCAACACTGTATAAATCCTGATTTATTATCATATCTAACGAAAGAAAGGCTGACGCAAATGCTGCAAGATTCAGATCATCTCTTACTCACCTCTTCCAAGAGAAGACTGAAGTTTTCTTGGAGTGGTTTCTTGGTTGTGATCTTGTTATACCAGAACTTCTCTGATGCTGCAAAGATGCGTACCTTGGTCTCTATGACAAAGCGGACAGGCTCTTGGATGCCTAGGATCACCAGGTCTACAGCTATGGTCATGAACATACCTTTCTCTGTAAATAAACAACACCATCAAATCAGTATCATGTATTCAACATGTCTTTCTTTAATATCATTAAAAAAAACATTGAATTACTGAATTGGAACCAGCTGCACCACCTGTATACAAAGACACTTCTGTTTACGAGGAAAAACATTTCTCTTTAAAACCTGAATTAAGAAAACCACCTGCCCTTAAATACATCTATTCCTCTTTCCCTTGAATGGTCATCATGTACAGATTTCACTGTATTCAATATGAACACATCTTCAACCTTTGACTACATGTAGGATTTTTCCCTCTGGAGAAATACTGGTGATGATGCCAGTAATTTGTGTTTTCTTGAATACGATCACCAACATCAGCAACATTGAGAGAGTCCAGAATGCAGCAGCTAGATTCGTCAAAAACACTTATACAAGATATTCAAGTGTCAACGCTTTGAAGGACTCAATAGGTTGGATCCCCCTCCAGGAGGAAAGACGGAAGTCCGATTATCCCGTTTGTACAAAATGATTCACGACTTGATGGACATCAACTACAAGGATTACATCTCACCGAAGGTAGAACGAACAAGGACAGTAAAGGATTGGAACAGTCTTTCTCCCTTAATTGTAGCACAATCTTCTTTAAATACTTTCAAATCTGTGCTTAAAACCAACTTAAAACCAGCACCTTAAGTTGGTGGCCTCACATGACCACACATCCACAGTTTAAACACCTTTACAGCGTCTTGTGGAGGAATCCTACAAAGTACCAAGTACCAAGAATAAGGAATAGTGATAAAAACAACTATATTTATAATTTGTACTCCAGTTGAGATTTGAAACATGATACAAATCTCACTCCTTAAAGAAATAAAAATCAGGGCTTCACAAACAAATATAAGAGTGAGATTATGATTGTGGTTCAAACATTGATTATTGAATCTCACTAATTGCTCTGTGCATGAAAGCCCTATTATCTAAACTGCACCATCAGAAAGTGTCTGGTGTGAATGCCTGAATGAAATTATGGATGCATGTTAAAGTGACTCGGTAACATTGCCTCAGATTCTGAAACAAAATCCTGGATTTAGCTCATGCTGCAATCATGATTATAAACCTTTAGGTCAGTCATGAGTCCCATGACTTTTACAAGCCGATCGCCTGTCTGATTATCAAGAGATTTATGATTGGTAATAAAAATTTCATTTTTCGTTTTCCAAACAGTTTTATAACACTACGGTCTATTGGGAAAAATGAGTAAGGTAAAACCGGTCACTTAAAGATTTTTACTTTTTTGAGGCACTTCATGATCATTTTGAAGCGCAAATTTTTTAGGGCTTCAATATTACACCATATCACAGACACTAATAGCACGTAGGGCCATGCATCTCGGATTTAACATGGTTAAACGATGTCTAGCAGTACGTTCACTTGGTCAGCTCTCTGTCTTCCCCTACAAACTGGTTCAGACGGATCCCGGTTCGAAACCGAGTCACGTCTTTCAGATAGTGAATTTAAATCCCCACTGCACTACTTATAGCTACTTGCGCCTTCTATATAGCAAACAATGCCTAATCGGTGCCTGTTAGTCCCCAATGATCCCCTTTTTCTTATGTTAATTGAAAGCTGATTTGATGAGATATACACCTGTCAGTGACCTTGCAGGGTGGTCTAATCCCCCCTGGCCAAACTAATACAGACAGGCTTTACAGGTTGGTCCCCAGACTTAAATAATCATATCTGATTGATACACGTCTGTCAAAACCCAATTACACACAGATATCATCCACGGCATACATGCAAGCTTACCCAGACCAGGTGGAGATTCAGCATTAAGTACTTCTAGTTCAGGTAGGTTGGGATCCCATTGACACACCACAGAGTAGTTCCTTGCATCGTAATTCTTCTCCATATTCACCTATAAAAACAATAGAAACAATTTATCATTAGCTTCACCCAGAAAATTTCAATATGAGTAGTTTCACTAAATGACTTACAACACACACACAAGTCCATTTAAAAATAGTTGGGTGATGTCTACAAAACTGGCAAGATATCAAAACACAGAATCATCAACTTGAAATACAGAACCATTTTTACACTGCAATGTCTGTAATGCAATCTTATAATCAGTATCCCATGAAATTTAATCTATGGATTTATCAAAATACTGAATCAGAGCTTAATTTATCAACTGACAATCTCACATGGCAAGGGTGCTAAAAATGGTACTAAAAACATAGACAGGAAAAACAAGGATCTGTTATAGATGGATAGACTAATCCTAGCTAAATTTGCAGATGAGAGTTTATTGATATCAGAGAAGAACAGGTTCAGAGAATGAACGGACAACAGTTTCTATAATTAATCTCAGATAATAGAACTTACAGCATCGAGTAAGTACATCTCTCTGTCTGGGACCTCTCTCCCTGGACATATCAACACACCAAAGCATCTGCAAAGAAGGGAGAACAAAACAAATACAAACAAGCTTATTAGATAGATCAGGGCCCAATCTTATACCGATGTGATATTAATCGCAACTTATTTGCGATTGATAGCAATCGCAACTATGTACATAAGAGATACGAGACTGCAAACACATGATTAATTGGAGACTTGCCATTGATTTAGATCAATTGCAACTCTTTATAAGATGGGGCCTAGTACTAACAAATGTCTAAAGGAGGTCTATGTCCGTATAAAAAATATTGAAGTAGAAGATGTATGAACCATTCAAAGAATCATGTTTTATAGGTACATGTACACTGTATGACAATCATCAAAAGTTTGATGAACCAGCATGACACCCATTTTTTAAATATTAAATTGGCCAGTGGCAATGTCACTAACATAAGAACATCACTGGTAGCTGATGACTGAATAAGTTATATTCAAATGATTGTAACAGCAGAATCTTAAAGACACATAAAAATGGGGAATTTGACACTATTTATTTGGGTGTTCACACAATAACAGATATTGTCAATCACCGAAATAAGCCTTCAGTTTTATGACCGACAAGCTTTATGTAACGCTCTGTCTTTTCCCCATATGGTAAAATCCTTATCTGACATTTGCACCACCCAAAGACTCTCAGAGAGACGGGACAAGGGGTATTCGTTGAGTGGACTACAAGTTTGCGGTGTGTAGACTTCTACACCCATTTGACAGTATTTCCACCTAGTCTGGTGTCAGCGCATTATGACCTTCTGCACATGGAAACGCCCCCCTCTCAAAAAATGAAATGGAAGCTTTTATTACCAATCATGTGAAAGAATATGTTTTGACTAAAACGTGATCATACAAATTTTGCTGAGAAACTGCCTACTAATTGATATATTTGGTAAATTATTATATTTATTTGGACCTGATAGATAAAACGCACGTGTCGCGCACATGTGGGGGTAATCCCATATACATCCTTGTGTGTACAGTGCTTGTAACTTTATCAAGACTGGGCCAAATTTCTTATCATTTTGATTATTCCAGAACCTTTCAGTAAACACCAATACTTATATGCTAGATGGTTAACCTTTTCTGATCGATTCCACAGCATTTCTTTCACAATGCAATCGCATGACCATAACTGGTCTATACCATTAACAGGCTTTTCTATGATTGATGTAATATTCAACCCACCTCTCAATGATGAGCATCTTATGGTGGCCTTGCTGCACAATGATACCGATCTCCTTCTTGACTCCCTGTCTCAGCTTGAAGCACTTCTTATCCCGTGGTACCGGTGAGTAGTTGCCCTTCCCGCTGTCATCCTCCCTGATGTCTACTAAGACTGGAATGTCAAGATGGAGGATGCGTTCCCGTGGTGACATAGGAAGCCCTGGGACACTGTCCACCATACCAGGACTCTTAGGAACACGGTGGAAGGCTTGACCAAAGCAGGTCAGGATACGCTGGACCTGCATGGTGACCACAGGAATGTAATGTTATCACTATTCATGTACTTGTATAATTATAGAAACATCATGCAATGATGTAAATGATACCACTTCCAGGTTGACAATCTACTGATTTAATCAAGTGCTCGGGCAGAGTTAGAATTTAATGTATCAAAACAAAATCATATGATCTGCAATAATTTTTCTAAAAACAAAAAGGGATGATTGAAACTAACTTGTCTTTCCGATTCTATTTCGTGGTGATGCTTAGGCAATAAAAGCAGTACTTTCAGTTTCACATTACAATGATATACAGAGAACACACACTTGCATGGCACATAACGGGCTCAAAATTGGTGGATACATGGTCGCTACTGACTACACTGAATCCTTTTGGGAAAGAGAAAATAACTATTTTTGCTCAAGCAGCAACCAAAAGAAATCTCACAAATACATTGTAATGAGCCACTTAAAGTTGAATTTAGCAACCTAAGTATAAGTGTCTTGTGAACCCAACTGGCGATCCTAATTAAAAGTTGACTTTGGCTTGATTCGTTTTTTTATTTTCTGTATAAAAACATTTATATGAACATACAAATGAACGATAATTACTTAAAAAAGACAAGGATGGACTGCTTTATTCAGAGAAATTAATTGAATTGTTTTGTTCTTCCTGATAGCCTTGCATCCTTGATATCATAAGACTTATTCTCTTGGTATACTCACTGCTTCTACCACCTCACATCTAAAGACGTGACTATGGAACAGCTGACTATCCTTGGAGCCGTGACTACATGTGAAGGCAAAGCAATCACTTTCTGACTCTCTGTCTCTCTCTCTCCTTGACTAATTCACTTGGTATACTTACTGCTTCTACAACCTCACATCTGAAGACGTGACTATGGAACAGCTGACTATCCTTGGAGCCGTGACTACATGTGAAGGCAAAGCAATCACTTTCTGACTCTCTGTCTCTCTCTCTTCTTGACTAATTCACTTGGTATATTTACTGCTTCTACAACCTCACATCTGAAGACGTGACTATGGAACAGCTGACTATCCTTGGAGCCGTGACTACATGTGAAGGCAAAGCAATCACTTTCTGACTCTCTGTCTCTCTCTCTCTCCTTGACTAATTCACTTGGTATACTTACTGCTTCTATAACCTCACATCTGAAGACGTGACTATGGAACAGCTGACTATCCTTGGAGCCGTGACTACATGTGAAGGCAAAGCAATCACTTTCTGACTCTCTGTCTCTCTCTCTCCTTGACTAATTCACTTGGTATACTTACTGCTTCTACAACCTCACATCTGAAGACATGACTATGGAACAGCTGACTGTCCTTGCTACCATGACTACATGTGAAGGCAAAGCAATCACTTTCTGACGTATTAGCATGTCCACGACAACAGAAGAGAATACGAGTGATTCGATAGTGAGCAATCTCAGACTTTCCATCAACCTCCATCAATCTGAAAATGATACAAAATAAATATTGCACAGTCAAACCTGATTTAGTGATCACCTGTCAACAGAGACCACCTATCTACCAAGACCACCTGTCTACAAAGACCACATTTTTTGTTTCCCTTCAAAATGGTTTCTCATTGAAACATGTACTAAAGGAACCTGTCTACAGAGACCACTTTTTGTGTCTCCCTTGGGTGGTCTTTATAGACAGGTTTCACTGTATAAGCCTGTATCTTCACGTACAGATGTTTTTGAGGTGTTGTAGTCCAGTAGAAAAGTCTTTGGACTGTGAGCCACAGGGCATGGGCCACTATGGGGTTTGAATCTCTGCTGCAGCACGAACATCCTTTTTCAAGACATTTACACTGTATCTGCATTTGCCACACTCAACCCATGTGTAGTAAGTTTGTACCTGGTAGGTTTCAATTCTTGAATGGACCGAGTGCTATCTTGCTAGGGTTAAGCCAAAGTAATTATCACCAAAGTCCTTTGGAAGCATATAGAGACGTTATATCATATGCGCTATATAAGAATGGTTTATGATCATTATTTTGTAGATGACAGGGATACAGACATCTTTACGAGTTATAATCAATAGAGCCTCTTTCCAATACCATGTAATTGCATGGTTTCATTTTCATGTGTTGTTATATTTGCTACATTTCACCAAAAAATCAGGAAAATATCAGTAATTAATATCAAGCCACCTATCCAATGATCTATCTCTTCACTGATCTCGACTATAAACAGGGCCTAACCTCTGCCAAGTGTATACCAGTATATCTGAAACAAGGCATTTTATCTACCATTGTCTCATCTGGTGTAAAATGGATAACTGGTAGATTTGTTTCTTGTACTGGTAGTGGCTTCCAGAGTTAAAGCCAGGGTAATGATTTCTGAAACACTTTGGAAACACATAGGGATGTACCGGTAATCATAATGTGATGCCCCAAATTAGAACAATATGAATATCATACTCAACATTTTTCATTCAACATGTATATCTGATGGGGTTCATCTTGACTTATCACAGGCATGATATTTAATCATATCTGTAAATTGCTTTTAGCATTATCATTCCATTTCATAAAATCAAAAATTTTGAAAGTTGAATTTCATGTGGTAGGAGGCAGAAGGGCGTGGACTCTGTTTAAAGTCCAGTCAAACCTGCTTTAGAGACCACCTGTATACAAAGATCACTTTTTTTTGTTTCCCTCAAAAATAATTCCCCCTTGAAACATGTACTAAAGGAACCTGTCTTCAAAGACCACTTTTTGTGTTTCCCTTGGGCGGTCGCTATAGACAGGGCTTGACTGTATTATTATTATTAATATTCAGCAAAAACAAAGAAAATCAGCGAATACAAAACGAGAGTACATTTGGAAAAGAGTCACATGTATGTGAGCCCTTCTTCTTCTCAGGGCTCAGACAAAGTTATGACCTTCTGAATCTCACCTGACAGAACCTTCAGCAGTCCTAGGTACAGAGAGGACAATCTCCATGGCATTATCTGACTCTTGCTCCTTGAGTATGTGCATATTCCTTGTTACTTCTACTTCGCTCTTAGGGGCATTGACGGTCGATGCACCCAGGTAGAAGATACGACTGAACAGTGTACACACCTTATCAATAGGAGTTATTGCGGTTGGAGTGGACGGGTTCGATCCAGAATCTGAAAGAGAAGTTCCACATATTCATTTTTATGTCAGAATTGGCGGGGAAAGAATGAAAACACATATGACGACTTTCATGAGCTGTTTACTTCTTAAATTGTGGTCATATTTTTTGTAGTTTTGCTAAAGATGTATAACATCCTAATATTCAATTAATAGAGTATCAAAGTTACAATTACATCAGATGTTTTTCATATTTATAAAAAAAAGATTTACAATATTCCTAATTATCAAAAGTAACATTGTTTCTACTAATAAAACTTTGTTATAATCCTAATTTCGATGAGTTAGTATACCAGCAAAATATTTATATATCATAAAAGAAATAACTTAAACAGTGGCATACCACTTACTGTGTACTCTTGAATATTCCTCAAGATTTACAATCCAAATATTTCAACAAGAATTTTGCATGGTCCTACAGATTATTATGATATTCTATTAATTCACATTATACATGTACATGTTAAAATGTAGTGGCAAAGCAGCAAATATGCCCTTTACTTGACTTTACCAGTAACTTGTATACAACACACAAACAAAATTCAGAAGAATCAAAGGAACTTTTTTTTTTCACCCCAAGTGAGAAAGTGTGTACCCTGATTGTAAAATAACCCATGTTATGATGTTACAATGTAATGGCAATGCAGCAAACATGCCCTTTACTTGACTTACTAGATCTTGGTACCCAAGGGTCTTCTTGACTGTCCTCGTCTTTCGGACTGGCGCTGTCTACGTGTCCACTCATCACCATGTCTCCTATATCATCTATCTTCTCTTGAGGCGACTGCGGTGACCCAAGGTCATCATTACCTGGACCATCTACCTGGTGCCCGACTCCCGAGGATACCAGGTTGAGCTTGATGCTGGGTGGCACCATCCTGGTTGTCTTAGCAATCCCTCCGAGGTGTTCCTCAAGCACTTCTTCCAGGTTGTGCTTCAGTTGGTCCATGTTCCCGTTGCCTGCGATGCGCAGCCCGGTGTCTGTTCCTGATCCAGACGAGCTGACTGAGGTCACTTCTTGCTGCTGGGCCGCCAAGGCCCCGTTCGTGCTGCCCGCTTTCTCCTCGCTAGGGGTGACTACAACGTATTCGTCAGCGACAGAAAGCGAGTCCATAGAACTACGACTGACCTTGTCCTCCATGGGATGGTTCAGTGCAGTAGCAGCCTAGCTCTTCTTATCTCACACAACCGATCAATAAATCAATCGGAATGAAATACAGCCAGCTTCCCCACTACAAGTCCATTCTGTTTCATGAGAAGCTTTGTATTATTTTCCTTTGTAGATGGTCCAAAATGACATCACTAAATACTAAATGAATGGTCACATGAACTGAATCAGTAGAAAAAGCTTTGTTGAACTGACTCCTCACAATGATCATCCACAAACAATGTCATCACTTCCAGAACTTGTTATCTACATTGGTATTTGTTGCCAATTTTATAACATCAATTAATGATGAGAGAGTTTATGCTGATATCAGTTAATATCCAACACATTTTCACAATTTTCAGTAGTTGGTCCCTTGTTATTCTATTCCCTCTGAGAGAAACAATTCTGAAGCTGTCCTGGGAATGCAGCGATGATTACAAACCTATTGTAAGCAAAAGAGAAATAAAGCAGGCTATTAGATTATGCTCACCAAAATTTCCAAAATTGTGAAATAAATATAATATGAGATGATATGTTTTTAATTGTTAATTGTCATGCAATTCAGCCGAGGCTGCGAAAAGATGATATTAATAAACTGAACTGAAACTGAATTGAAAAACCTTTTGTAGATTTATTTCAAAACCAAGTGCAACAGCACTTCCTCCATAACGCTTTGTGATCGGTGCAATGTTAAGATAACTGTGAAAAGCAGTTTCTGTATTTACTTTGGAGCCTAGGTATAGATCATATTCCTAGTAAAGGAATATTGACAAGTAAAGCAAAAATACATGTTCACCATGAGAGACCTACATTGACTACTCAAGGCAATTCTACATTTACAGTGTATAGTCAGTACTAGGGATTACAGCTTCAAAAAATTTGCACGAACCATATTTAATAAAGAGCAATATTTCTTCAAGACACAACCGAAAGCAAACAACAAATTCTACAATCAAATATTTACACAGTGGATAACGCACACGCACCAAAGATTATTTCTATAAAAGTAATGAACCATTTACAAACATCATTCCCATTCAAGGAGTAATCTGATGGAATGACAAATCATTTTAAAAATATATAATTTTTTTTTAATTTTTAATTTTTTAAATACAAGAAATGTACATTTTTATGCTATCACTTATGGCATATATATGGCCTCTTATTTTGTGTAGGTGTTGTGCTTTGATACAAGGTTAGATAACTATGAGGTCATTTGTAAATCAGTACTCAATTTTTATCTAAATTGGTGCTGGCTTGCCAAACAGTTTTTTTTAAAGATTTATCAAAATGTTTGTAGTTATATGTTTCATGAACTAATAAATGGGCCTCTCAAATGTAGATCATGCTTCCTCTAGTAATAAATAATACCCTTGAGAAATTAACATAATTTGCTATCTTTGTTGGCAATTTGGCATCGGTATTAAGTTGTTTTGGAAATCTAATTCCTGATAATGATAAATGTATGTAGTTTTGAATCTGCGGAACTCACAATTCTTTCTGCTATCACAAAATTCCATACCATTGACTTTAAACTGATATTTACCCTGTTATAATCACAACCCCAAATCCAATGAATGGTATAATAAATATGTGTTGTACTGAAAGGCAAGCAATATAATTTGGTGGTATTTCTTCTTACAGAGGCAGGGAACATTGATCTTTTTATCCAGGATAAAGTTGAGGATATTAATCAAACCTTGAATTCCTCATTGTTTGTTCATCTCTCCCTTTCAATACAAATGTAGTAAACATTTATGTATCATATAAAATGGTTACTCAAGAGTGTAAACCAGACAATCATAACTATTTCAGATTGTGTTTGTTTATTGAATCATTTATTTGTTTTTCTTTGTGTGCTTGTTTGTTTTCAATGGGTTATCACAGGCACAGCCATGCTAGCAACTAGCGTCTTCATTATTTTCAGTGCTGAATAGGATGAATGTAAGGCTTCATGTTTACCTCGATCTATGGACAATGTATATGTAACATTATTTTTCCTACTTAAAGATATAGTTGAGTTCTGTTGAGTATGGTAACTAGGCGTTGTGGCGTGCGCTTGTAATCCAGCTAAAAGTGGAAGTTACAAACTGATTCAACTGAGGACGCAGGTTCGAAACTGAGTCACGTCTTTCGGATGGTGACGTTTAAAGATCGTTCCCCAGACGTAAATAATCATATCTGATAGATACACTTCTGTAAAAACCCAATACACACACCACGGTCATGTGATTGTATTGTGAAAGAAACGTGGAATCGATCAGAAAGGTTGATCATCTAGCATATAAGTATTGGTGTGTACTACAAGGTTCTGGAATCATCAAAATTATAAGAAATTTGGCCCAGTCTTGGTAAAGTTACAAGCACTGTACACAGAAAGATATGGGACTACATAAACATGTGGCATAAAAATATGTCCCGATTTTTATGATGTTACATGCCATATTTAGAATATTAAAGCATTTTTGAGAGCCATGCTTTTCAGGGAACACTTTTTCTCTCATGTTCTTCTATACTTGCATAATACAATGATAACGCTCACAAATAATTTATCACCTCTTCCCAGAACTCAACCTTCTCTTTATAGTGAGGTAATGAAAGTACATACACTATGTGTATAGTACTGGTAGTCCAAACAGAACACTAAATAAAATATAAACATTCCTTGATGCAAATTATTATTTTCTCACTTATGCTACGTACAGTATACATGTATATTGTTAACATTTAAACAACCTTAAATATAAGAAACTGTATTCATTAAGGCATGTTTAAGTTGGTCTAACCTTGAATTATAATTGTAATTGAATTTGGTTAATCAATGAAAATTTGAATGCAGCCAAAGGCCCAATTGCAAAAGCTTTAAAAGCACCACCACCACCTCCATCACCGTCATCATCTCCATAATCATCACAGTCACCACCACCATCACCATCATATGGCCGCCATTATCATCATCACCACCACCACCACCATCACCACAATGTCACCACATATACTGTTTTCACACTGGCAATATTTTGCTTAACCCCGTACTATACAGTAGGTGGGGTTAAGGGGGGTCTTAGCCCCACCTATAGTACGTACGGGGTTAAGCCTATTCCACTTTCTGTTCAGGCTGGCTTTTACCAAAGTGGGCTAAAGTTGGCTAACCCCACCTTTAGTACGGGGTTAACTAACCCTGCAAAATAGCAGGGCTAACTCCGCAATTGTGGTGCTAACTCCTGCTAACCCCGCAATTGCGGTGCCAAGCAAATGAATGAGAACAGAAACAAAAAATAGTCCGATACTACGCAATGGAGCGTATCGCAGCTGGCCAGATGCAAAGTATGTCCAATCATAACATTCACGATATCCGGGGTTAACGAATTGCAGTGAGAACAGCGTGAATTTTCTTATTCCGGAATAGGCGCTAGTACGGGACTAAAAACAGCGAGTGTGAAAAGCCAAAAAAAAAATAGTCCGGGGTTAAGGATAGTACGGGGCTAAGCAAAGTACGGGTTAAGCAAAACCAGTGTGAAAAGAGTATAATTATCATCACCATCATCATCTCCATCACCATCATCACCATCACTACAATGTTATCATTGATTATCACCATCACCATCACAATCACCATCACCACAATGTCACCACTAATTATCATCACCATCACAACCATCATCACAATGTTACCTATCATCACCACCATCATCACTATCATCACTATCATCGTGGCTGCCATTATCATCATCACCACCACCACCATCACCACAATGTCACCACTAATTATCATCACCATCCTCATCATCCCATTATCATCATCACCATCACAATCACCATCACCACAATGTCACCACTAATTATCATCACCATCACAACCCTACTAAAACATACCCTACTAAAACATACCCAAAATGAAGTAAATATTCATTAAATGTCCAAATAAAGATCATGAGTTAAAAGTTGTTACGTTTATCACTTGTTTCGTGTTAATTTTCTTGTTATTTTTGGAGTATTTTTCAGATAAACGTCGATATTAGTATACACTTTTTCACCGATTTCACGGCAAACCGCTGCACAATACAAGTGAATACCGATGGTGGGTTGCGGGCGGGCGCGCGCCTGTGTGAAGTTATCTACCGTAATGAGGATCTGAGACATTACGGTAGATAACTTCACGCCCGCCCGCAACCCACCATCAGTATGTACTTTTATTGTGTAGCGGTTTGCCGTAAAACCTGTGAAAAAGTGTATACTAATATCAACGTTTTTCCGAAAAATACTCCAAAAATAACAAGAAAATTGACACGAAACAGGTAATAAACATAACAACTTTTAACTCATGATCTTTATTTTATTTGGACATTTAATGAATATTTACTTAATTTTGGGAATGTTTTAGTAGATCTAGGTATCTCCACGCCGGAGTTACGGGTCAAATTTTGGATAGGTTTCTGAACAAGGTGGTGGTGTGAGACTCCGTCCAAATGCCGGAGGATTGACAGCCCTGCTCTCAGAGATGCCAAGTTCAAAGATCGGCAATGCGAGACATTTTCATGATTCGGCGCGCGAGCGCGCGTGCGAGGGTATAACAGTTTAACACACGTATAAGGTATAGATTCTAGCGTTTTTTCAAAATCTAGCGCGCACGTCGTGCGTAAGAGCATTTTCAGACCCTCGAAATGCGTGATGTCACGCCTAATGCGTGATACTTGGTAGCTCTGTGCTCTAGACCTACTCTTGAGAGCCTAGGCCAGGGCCATGGGTCTTCACAATTACAACTATAAAAAGCGATGTGTTCGTGTTGGAATTCAGGTTAGTTTACCTTGGTTGGATTTCTTAAACAAAAACACAAATTATAAACATGACAAAATACCTGCAAGAATATTCTGGAGTGAACAGGTGAATGAGGCAGGATTAATAATAGACGAGATGAAATATAAAAAACGTAAACAACAACAAAAATGAAAAAGTAAAGAAAAAAAAAACAGAAAATGAGAAACAAACCTGAACTCCAGAAAAGCAAAGTCCAGTACTTAGGCCTAAAACGGCAGTAGATCTACTGTTTCTCAAACTAGGTTCCAGGCAAGGGAGCCATACACAGAATCGGAGACAATTACAGAAAGAGCTCGAGAGAAAGAAGACGAAAGTAATCAACTCTTTTTATAGTCTTCGTTTTCGCTCTGCCAATTACATGCCCCATATAGCCTTGTGTGTATGTGCAGCAGTCCTGTCCACTCGAGCCGAGCGACTATAAATATCTAATATTTAGTGTAAATTTGAATCGACCCGAAACCATCTCCACCTACATAATACTACGTGAACCTTTCATATTTCGCCAAGTACCCATCATCTACACCGATACCATGAATATCTGATGTTCGTTGCCTAAGCTAAGATGCATCGCAGTCAAGTTGCGAAGGAGATCGATGACCCCCCCCCCCCCCCCCGAAATAGTAGAAATAAAAATGAAAGCAAATAAGTGAAATTACATAAACAATGTGATTTATAATTTTTTTGAAAAATATATTAGATGAATATGGTAACCACAATTTTAATTCTTGTTTTCCCCCTCAATGGGGGAAGGGGGGGGGGGGGTGTTGAGTAAAAGAAGAAATATATATTTTTAGTACTCCCCCCTTCCCCGTTGAGCAACAAAATATATATATATATATTTAGTGCTCACTAAAAATAAGCATTCTTCTTTCTTCTCCTTTTTCCTGGCACTAATTGATTTTTACTTGTTCATCCCCGCCCCAATCCTGACCAGAGAACCTTGGACTTGCCACTGTCTATAATAATAACGTGCTGAATATGATGGCCATGCTCAATGTCTCCCACAAGTTTGGAATAGGGTCGACCTGTCGGGATCATCTAAATTTGGTAATCGATCATAAAACATATATATATATATATATATATATATATATATATATATATATATTGTTTTACTATCATGTTGTATATATATTTATATTTGAATACTTTGAATACCAAAGCTTCTGGAAGAAAGCTGTCTCCAGCTGCCAAGCTTCCAGGTCTAACTTCAAGGGGGGATGCATTACGAGTAATATAATTTATTATCATCCCTGTATTATATTTCAGGTGAGACATGCAGTAGTATATATTAATTTGTGTCACTCCTGGTTATTGTTATCTTTACTCTTATACACTCAATTATCTATGTTACACTATCAGGGGCGGCCGGGCCACTTCCAAAGTGGGGGGGGGGCAACAAGAAAAAAGGGCACTTCATAGGGAAATCAAACTTGGGGATACTTGTATTCAAGCTTTGTACAGGGTATTACATTTAATTAATAATCATTATTGCCAATTTTATATTGAATTAAGGTGCCGTGTAGATGTTTTACTTAAAATTGCACACTTGTTTATTATGTATTTTAAAATAATTTAGAATGTAAAAAAATTAATACCAATTGAATTTGACTGGATATTATTTTACGGATAATGCATTATACCACCACTCAATTTGGGTTTACTGTCTCTCTCTTCTCTCATTATCTTTCTCAATTTTAATTGTTGAACAATACGTTGATGTCAGTTGATATATGATTATTGGTCCTTTGAAGTCCTATGTACCTTATAATTATGTTTAAATGCGATTGCTCTTGAGTGTTTTTTTTTCCTTCTTTTCATATGTAATTAAAGTGTCAATTTATACAGTTTTATTGTACAAAGTATATATACATATAAATATATTGTGAACCATTTATATGCCTGCCTTTTTTACTGTATGAAATCCAACTCATGGTTGCAATAAATGAATGATTTAATATAAAATCTCAAAGCGAAAATATACAATTTTTTAGACATTGGTATATACCCCTACATTGTGATTACAATTATCAGGGATGATTTCAATATTTGTTTCACTTTATACACTATACAAGATAGTCATGCTTTGCAGTTGGGTTTGATTGTCTAAAAATTTGTTTGCGAGTGAGCGAAGTGAGCAAGGAAATTTTGTAAGATGTGTGAGGTCGCAGTGCGAAAAATTACATCTTATAAAGAGAAAAAAATCACAATCCTAATTGGGTTATAAGCACATTCTCATAACGGAAGACCTTTGATAAGTATAAGTATATCATCTATAGATGCGTGCGAGCATAGCGAGCGAGCTTTGGGGGAAATTGCTCTTAGTCGCTTGAAATTAGCTAGGGCGCGATTGATGATGAAAGGTAAAGGGGACACTTATCAGGAAAGAAAAGGAGCATGTGCCAAAGTACAAAGAGAATTTATCAGAGGTGAAAATGGAGCACTTCTTACACCCACGAAAAAGAGGTACTCGACAGGGATGAAAAAAGTCAGTCATGAGAATAGGAAATGGGCATTTGTCGACGGTAGGGGCCCCATCAGATTTTGGTAGGGGCATAGTATTATTATGTATTTGTTAAAAGGGAAATAACAGAGGTGAAAAGAGGCACTTATCGCATCTGAAAAGGAGCAATGCCCTGATATGAAAAGGGGCACCTATGTGAATGGAAAAGGGGCACTTGTAATAAAGGAAAATGTGCATTAGTTAAAAGAAAATGGGCACCGATCAGATTTTAAAGGGGCATTTATCGGAGGTGAAGGGGGCACTTATGAGAAGGGGCACTTATGGGAAGGGGAAGGAGCTCTCTTTTTAATGGGGCACTTATCATTAGGAAAAGGGGCACTTTTCAGAAAGGAAAAAGGGCACATGTGAAAATATAAGGTGCGCTTTTCCGAGTTAAAATGGGGGAAGTTATTAAAAGGGGAAGGGGCACTTGTCAAAGTAAAAAGAGACACGTACCTCTCAGCTTTAAATAGGACAATTATCAGAGGTGAAGGGGACACTTATCAAAAGTGAAAAGAGGCACTCAGCGTACCTGACTTGGTGCACTTACTGGAGATTAAAAAGGGCACTTATGAGAATGGAACATGGACACTTATTGCAAAGAAAATGGGAACTTGTCGAAGGAAAAGGGGTACGTGTACAAATAAAAGGGGCACTTATCAGTGTTGAAAAGGGGAAGGGGTATTTTTACAAATTAATAGGGGCACTATTTCTATGTAAAAAGGGGCACTTCTCGGGTGCTTGAAAAAATGGGGGCACTGTGCCCCCTTGCCCCCCCCCCCCGGAGGGCCGCCTCTGTACACTATAACATTGAAATTTGTTATCCAATGTACACAAAATTGAGAATGATCCTATTTGTTTGGACTGAAATCAACAAAGTTTGAATTTGAATTTGTAGCTGCATGTGATGAAGAGTATGGGCCGCGAAAAGTTGATGGGGTGGGTCCCGGGGGAGGTAACAAAAATCCTAGTCCATAGTTAGGTTTATCTAAAAAATATATTCCAGTTAATCATATTCATTTCTGAAGGTTGAGTTATAAGCAAGGAGATGGGAGGGATTTTTAAAGGGTCACTAAATTACAAATTCATGTTGACTTTTGTTGATCTGTAATAATCATATCTTTTAACTTTTTGATGTACATTTATGTCATATATTTTGTATTATTTTTTCTATTAACTTTGTTCTACCTGCTAAGCTCCACCCCTAAAATAAACCCTCCAAAAGCAAATGACTTTTGTGACATCATCATGCCAGTCATTCATCAGTCAGCTAGATGAACAAAATGTCCTACTCTCCCTTAACTTTGCCACAATAAATTGATTTTCCTGCAAAAATTCATGGATCACCATTGGTCCCCCCGACGCGCCCCCCCCCCGACGCCAAGGTCAATACAATATACAACTCCTGATCTGCAAAATTCAAATTCAAATTCAAACTTTATTGATTTAAATCCAGACAGCTAGATAGGATCATTCTCATTTTTTGTATACATTGGATAACAATGATTGCTTATAGGCGAATTTATTGTTGGATGAATTTTGCACGGGTTGATTTTGTTTTACTTCACAGCGGTTTGTTTTGCCCTGAGAACGGGGCCAGTTCCGGGTCACACAGCTGGCTATTACACTTGATGGTTTCAATGATAAACCCACTCCTTTTAAACGTACGTTTGTCTGCATGAAATAACAATTTATTCAACAACAAACAGTTCGCAAGGTCAATTAAAATATTGTTTATTTAACTTTTTTTAATTTTAATTTTGTTAATTAGGCATAAGGCTCTTATGATTTTTAACAGATCTATTGCTGTTTAGTGATGCGTAAGCCAGAGGGAGTAATGCCATATTATGTAGCTTCCAATTAGAGTAGCTCGAGACCTCCCCAAAGCTAGCGAACCGTGCGTTCGATCGATCGAGAGTACAAGATAGCGTCGCGGCAAAGAAATTCGCAGACAAGACGAGTCTTTTCTTATCATATCAGATTGGGTTCCCGACCCGTGAACAGAAGTGCTTGAAGTCGAGGAGAGACATAAAGTTGGCTGATTTTGCATTTGGGACAGGTATGAATTTTGAAATGTTAACTGGGGTTTTAATTTGAGTGAGTCTGTCCTTCGACATCGCATCGAATGCAAACTACATTTGTCAATTGTAGATAATGGATTCTAAGTACCGTTCGAGACATTTTTTTATTTGCATAGGCTAGACTACAACGGTGAATTAATGAGTGAGTGAGCTGAGGATGTGATAGTGTGTCAGTGTGCGATTTTAAATTAGATCCAAATGCGGTGATGAATGATCAATGATGATGTTTTGCAATATTAGACTGTTAGTGTTAGAATTTTGAATGTAAGATTGGTCATCTAGCATTCTTGCCTTTTGACTTTGTAAAAAATGTGTATTCTGTTCCAAAAAGGTAGAACTAGAAGCAAGTTTTCGCAGCCGGCGACAACGCTAATCTTAGCTTGGGGGGGGGGGGGGGGGGGGGGGGGGGGGATCGCACTCAGAGCGAAAATTTCTGCGTAGCGTCAAAACTGTATGTCTATAATGACTGTATTCAGCCGAATTAGCCTAGGGAGTTGAGGTAGTACGGGTGGCGTGATCAGCCAATCAGAGCGCTTGTTTACTTTTACATGTGCAAATGGGCGGTAGATCTACAACTTTTCTGACGTCACGCAAGCGCAGAAACTCCCGCGTATTCCGAGTTGCGAAACTGCAAATAGAACACACGGGGGCCAGAGTACGGAGACATGCAGTCACATGCAGCTCATTTAAATACCCCGTAGTCAGCACTTGCGTCGCCGTGCGAAAACTCGCTAATAGTAATGTCATGTCAGAGAGCTACAAAGGATTCTGAATGAACTCATTTCGGGTTTTAAACTAAAGCCGAATAAATGCTACTAATTA